AGGCTGGGAAGGGATGTGAAGGGTAAACGAAGGAGGAGGCTGCAATGCTTGGTAAGAAATGTACGCATTATCCTGCCCATGTAATTGTAACTCCTCTGTACAGCATGTTCACAAATAAAATAAAATTAAAAAAAAATTATCCTCCTTATCACTGAATTTTCCCTCTATACAATATGGAGAGAATTTCACTGTAACATGTGATCAAAATTACTGAACAATAAACAAGAGAAGACAATAAATCACATTTCACATTTAGTAATAGGAAATAAGACACTTTTCATGAATATTAACCACATCTGAATATTCAATAATAATAATAATAACGCCACAGAATAGCCACAGACTCCACAATGGACGATTTTAGAGAACAAGAGACTAGGGGTAAAGGACTGGCTTGTGACATCTGTAAGAGAGGAAACTGAACACTTACTTTTGCAAAGGCTTCAAAAATGTCAAAGGAAGGTGGCAGCTGAGAAGCATCTTGGATTTCTTCTTTCATGAAATGCTGGAAGGTCAGTACAAGTTGTCTGATTCCCTCCTTCTTATCTTCAGTCAGTTTGTTAATATCTTTTGTAAAAGAAAACAAGTGGTACTCAGTAGACACTATGTTGAAAATGAACTATACAATTTGTGGGTGGGGACGGGAGGGAAAAACTGGGAGAGAGCAAAGGAAAAGGTGACTTTGTTTAAAAAGAAATGTGCTCATTACCTGGCTTATGAAACAGTAACCCCTCTGCACAACACCTTTATAATAACCATTTACAAAGGAATGGCACAACTGCAAAGTAAATTTTTAGGTGTTCAGTGATGGCTGTTAAACCAGGTATTTCCTGCCTTTCATTCCATTCTGACATCTCTTTTTTACATGATATATACTTTATCAGCTAAATGTTGCCAGACTTTATCTAGAATCAAAGATCAAACACCTATCAAAAAATAAGTGTACATACAGGTAAAGATATATCAAAAAGCAAAATCAGTAAGGTGGTAGATGACCACACCTTCTGCATCATCGTGTACATATGCACAAGCCATCATAAATCCTAATTAAGGTAGTGAATTTAAACTGACTTCCCTCCATGACATAATTTACAACGAGGTCATGACTAGCTGATAAGTAGTATCATCTGAAAGTCAGAAGACAGAAAGTGAGAAGAAAAAAGTTCAGATAAAGTTCAAGTGAGATTTGTCATTCAGAAAGTACAAGTTCTGCCCACACTGAATACAGTGCTGCTTTAACTCGAACAGAAAAGGATGATTTTGTTTCTTGTTCTGTGTTAAGAGACTCCACTAAAAATCTATCAAAACAAATACACAAATTCAATAACATTGTAGGATACAATTAACATTATTATTTTTACACTCTGATAATAAACTTGCTGAAAAGAAATCAAGAGATTAACTTCATTCATAAAAACTACTCCCAAAACAAAATATATATGGAAAACTAGCCAAGAAAGAAAGAGATCTCTTCAATGACAATTATAAAACCCTGAGGAAAATAATTAAAGAGGATTTTTTTTCCTGGCCTTGGGGCTCAAACTCTGGGATTGAGCACTGTTGCTAAGCAACTTTTTGCTCAAGGCTAGTGCTCTGTCTCTTGAGCCACAGTGCTACTTCTGGCTTTTTCTGTGATTAATTGGACCTAAGAGTCTCACATACTTTTTTGCCTAGGCTGGCTTTGAACTGCTCTCCTCAGATCTCAGTTTCCTGAGGAGCTAGGATTACAGGTGCGAACCACTAGTGCCTGGCTAAAGAGGATATTTTTAAATGACTAAAAACATTCCTTACTCATGGATTAGAAGTAATATTGTTGAAATTCTGTACTGCTCAAAGTGATCTACAGATTACATGATCTGCCCAAAGTGGTCACAAAAAAGATGGCATTCCACATTGGTGTAAGAAACATATGGAGCCACAAAAGGCCCTGAGAAGCCAAAGCAATCCTGAGCAAAAAGAAAAAAAGTTGGAAGCTTCAGAGTATATGACTTCAACATACAACAAAGCCACAGCAGAACTAACAAATTGGTACTGCCACAGAAACACAGACCAACGCAATGGAACCGAGAGGTCAGAAATTAACCCACAAATACAAAATCAACTGATTGTCAACAAAAGTGCCAAGACTGTACACTGGGGAAAAGATACTCTCATCAATAAACAATACTAGGAAAACTGAATATCTATAACGGAATAATGAAACTAGATCTTTATTCCTCACCATATGTAAAACTCAACTCTAAATAGATCAAAGATTTAAAGACTAGAAGAAAAAGGGAAAAGGTTCAGGCTATTGTTCTGGGAAAAGCTTTTCTTTTAAAAAATATGTCCCCAAAATCAGATAAGAAGCAGAAACGGGCAAAGGGATTGCATCAAAGTAAAAAGCTTCCACACAAAGGATATAATCAATACAGTAAGGAGATGACCTACAGAACAGAAAAAAGATATCTGTCAACTATATCTCACAGAGGATTAATACCCAGAATATATAAGAAACTTCAAACAACTCAATAGTGAAACAATAACAACCCAATTTTAAAATGATCATGTGGTCAAAGTAGACATTTTCAAAAGAAGATACATACTGATCAACAAGTATATGAGAAAATGTTAAACATCACTAATCATAAGATAAATATAAATTAAAAATAATAAATTATCATCTTACTCAGTTCAGAATGACCATCAGTTAAAAGAAAAAAAAAGTAATAAATACCGACAAAGAATCCAATGTATATCTAACAAAATTAAGAAGATGAGAAATGGGGTAAGTAGAGGAGCAATGGGCAAGAATGTTGAAGAGGGTAACACGGATTAAGATAAACTATATTGGGCTGGGAAGATGGCTCAGTGGTAGAGTGCTTGCCTTGCTTGCATGAAGCCCTGGGTTTGATTCCTCAGCACTACATAAGTAGAAAAAAAAAAAGCAGGAAGTGGGGCTGTGGCTCAAGTGGTAGAGTGCTAGCCTTGAGCAAAAGAGCTGAGGGACAGCACCCAGGCCCAGAGTTCAGGCTCCATGATACACACACACACACACACACACGCACACGCACACGCACACGCACACGCACACGCACACGTACACACACAAAGATAAACTGTATTGATAAACTACTTTGTTAAATGCCAATTCCTTTGTATAACTACTTAAAGATAATAAAAAGAAAAAAAAGAGTTGGAAGAAAAAGAAAGTCTTCTATACTGTTGATAGAAAAGTAAATTAATACACTCATTCTGGAAAACAATCATTCAAGAAAACAGTACTATATTGGAGATACCAGCACTCCCATATTTACTACACTGCTACTCTCAATACTCAAGATATAAAAATCAACTGTGTCCATCCGCAGATGGGGATTAAGGAAAAATGGTATATAGTTGGACGTCAGTAGCTAATGCCTAGTTAGTCAGGAGGCCGATATCTGAGGATTATAGTTAGATCTAGCCTGAAAAGACAAAAGACAAATTGATGAGATTCTTATCTCCAATCAACCAGCAAAATGCTGAGACTAGAGGCATGCTATGATAAAGCACCAGCAGTAAGCAATAATGCCAAGTCAGAATATTGAGACCTGAAGCTCAATCCCTAGTACTAGCACAAAGAGAAAGAGAGAAGAGAGAAATATATATACCAAAAAAATTCAGCCATAAAAATAATGAAATTCTGTCATTTTCAATCGTGTTGGTAACCAGAGTACGCTGTTTTAAATAAACCAAACAGAAAGGAATATCAGACTCATTTTGTCCTTACTAATTAGTACACGCTAAAACAGAGAAACTCATAGAGGAAGAGAATAGTGGTCATTAGTGATTAAGTAGAAAAAGAGCAAAGGGAAGTTAGACAATGGGTACCAAATACAGTTAGACAAGAAGAAACAATACAGAGTATGAATGGGTAAAAGTAGTCTATAATTTGTGACAGTTTTCAGAGTAATAATTTTTGGCTATTGATTTAAAAAATAGCCAAAAGATCCAAAGACAAATAACACTTTCCTGGACAAGTATAGTGGCACCAACTGTAGTCCTGCACTCGAGAGGCTGAGCCAGGAGAATCATGGTTACACAATGAGAGCCTGCCTCAAACAAAACAAAGCAATAAAAGATAATACTTTGAGATGGAAATGTTAATGCCCTGAATTTATCCTTACAGATTAATATACATACATTTAATTACTGTACCGTACACCATAAATCTGTATAGATACCATGAGCCAACTAAACTGTTATGAAAAGAAGATATGAGGCTCAAGCCAATATAATCCCCTCAAAAATCAGCTAAATGATAACCAGCATGAAGACTGGGAGTGCATCATGTAATTAGTAATATTTAAGAGCATTTCACATAAGGCACGGTGTATAAAAGTGCTGCTGAGCAGGGCCAGTGTTAACAGTAAAACTCACTGTAAGAGCTGTTAATTATCTAGCAGTGATACAAGAAAAAAACGAGTAATTAGCTCTCTATTAAAACTTGAAGAGACACATCAAGTTGAACTATAGCATAATTTTGTTGCTCATGTCAAGTCTGCATATTTTCCTTAAATTACTTGTTCAATAGAATAATTAAACTGATGATTCCTTAAATAATAATTTATTACCATTGGCACTAAGGATCCCATAACCATAAATCTTCAGATCCTTGTCTTATTGGCTCAATCCAGAAATATTAAACTATGTAGTGAATGCACCATATGAGTTCTAACTAGCAGAAATATTAAACCGTGTAGGGGTACACTTCATGAGTTAGCTAGTATAGGGTTGGAATCATATAGAACCCACATGAAGAGAATCTGTGCCAAAAAGACAGCAAAATAAATCTGATGTATGCTTAATACTCATACCTGGAGAGCCTCTCAGCCACCCCTTATAGCCGGAACACACACATGGTAGTTCAGAAAAAGATCAAGTCTTAATACTGTCATAGAGCCTCAGTCCCAAGTACCTTAGCATCTAAAGGAGTAGGAACTCCTAAAGCTCAGTGGAACTCCCAGTCCCCTTCCCTACTTCACACACCCCAGACATCAGAAGTGAAGAAAAGGACGACAGAGAAAACAAGATGGGAAACAGAAGAAACCTTGTCAACTGCTCTAAAGTTTATGTTGCCAATGAGCTGCTAAGGTTGTAAGAATGGAGGAAGTGTTTTCCTGTCAATAATCAAGGACCCTAGAAGACTGAAGGTGTATGGGCTGGACTGACCGCCTCAGGGGATGAGAACTCCCAGTTTTAGGGCTCCAGACCTTAGAAGCCTAAGACTGAGTTTTAGGCACTCAGGCAGGCTCGCTACCTGGATTCCACCAGCCCATGCCCAGCACTGTGTCACTAACAAAATCTTCAGCTCTAAGCAGCAGCTAACAGAAGCAGTCAGCACCACCTAGCATCTTAGTTACCAAGCTTTAGACTTTCACAGCAGTTAACACTGTAAGTCTCAAGCTTCAGATGTCAGGATACACTGCCTTCAAGGTTAGGCAGAACCAGAAAAGGCTTCCAGACACTGGGGCCTGCGGCCCCTCACCTACCACCTCTGCTTTCTCCTTTCTGAAGCCATGTCCACTGCCTTTCTTTCAGTTTCTTTCTTTTGCCTGACACTCTTCAGCCACCTTCTCACCATTGTACTGCTACTCTGTTACCACCAACACTCCTCTTTGTGTTACCAGCTAACAAAAATCACTAGTTAGAAGCCAGGCACCATCAGGCTGTAACCCTCTCTACTCAGGAGGCTCAGATCTGAGGATTACGGTTCCCAACCAGCCTGGGCAGGAAAGTCAGTAAGATTCTTATCTCCAATTAACCTCTCAAAAGATGGAAGTAGAACTGCAGCTCAAGTGGTACAGCACTAACTTTGAGCAAAAGGCACTCGAGGGCAGTGCTCAGGCCCTGAGTTCAAGCCAGAGGACCGGCACCAAAAAAATAAATAACTAAACAACTCACTAGTTGGTAAGAAAGTGCATCGAGAAGTCTCTTGTTAGGCCTCATGTTGCAGTTCCAGGTAGTAGAAAGAAGGGTGTCACCTAGCTGCCTAAAAGAGCTTAGCAGCCTTGCCAGGAAAATGAGTGTTGCATGGGTGTGAAAGCCATACTGGAAGCGATGCTGCGATTAGAGGAAAGGATTGTATTTGTACCAATCACAACACAGCTTCCAGTTCCACCAATCAAATTCTCACTGAGTTACCACCTTAAGTGAGAATAGCTGCAGGGTCTTCTAAACGTCTCAAAAGTTTGTTTTGCTTGGCATGCTGCATTCTAAGTCCAATACGGTTTTCTGGAGTGGTCCTGATTAAAATGCAGTCCCCAGAGCAGGAGTGGGGTCTCCTGGCAGCTCGAATGTCTTCAAAGTGGTCATAAAGTGTCTAGAATAGCCTCACTGCCATGAGGACAGCCCAGCCAAATGCCAGAGAAAGAACAGCTTGGCCAACAGGCCTCCAGGTATAAGGAAAGCATCTATCTACTGCCATTCGAGAGTGAATGGCCTTTCCTAGAGACTTCCACTCATTCATAGAAAAATGCACCGTGAGGTGTTTATAATAAAGAGGTAACAAAAGCTCAACATAAAATTAGCATCCTCAAAGCCTGAACCCCTGTCCCACTGACCCAGACAGAACTGGGTCCCTCTGAATTCAGTTATACTACTCCACTTACCCTGGACACCTTTATGGTGGTTTAAACACTTATTTACACATTCCAAACCCAGAAATCAACAAAATACTAAACTTTTCTTAGGTTTACCTCACATGATGAACAGAAAAACAAAGTTAAAATTAAAGCATTTTCTCAGAGGTAGTGTATTATTGAGGCACTGGATTCAATAGAAAGAAGACAGAAGGAGAGGGGGAGGGGAGCAGAAGGGAGGGAACTAGAGAAAGAAAAGTTCAGCAGCAGGACAAACAAATGAGGATTTTTTTTTTAATGTTGATGGATGGCCACTTACTTGACTCCAGATCATAAAAAGAATAAAGTTTCTCTGATTCTGAGGGTGCTTCTTCCATCTATGAAGGAAAGAATGAAAACAATGATTACTGTTCCCACATCATGCATTCGCATCCTTGACACGAACCGTCTAAAGAAGACTGCTAAGTGAGCTGTTTTCCCGCCATTTTTGCTTTCTGATTACTTTCAAGATACGGTTTCCATTTTTGCCCAGGCTGGCCTGGGCCATGATCAAAGACCACCAAACCCAGACTCTCCTGTTCAGATGGGGTCTCACATAGTTTTTGCCCATGCTAGCTTAGAACTATGATCTTCCCAGTCTTACTCTCCTTCCAAATCTAAGTCCCCTAAATAGCTAGGATTTAGGATTATAAGTAAAAGCTACAAGTTCAAGGCTCTGTATTACATTTTGATTACAGTTGAATTACTTAATCATAAATAATGTTAAAATCAAGCTTGTAACCAGTGCAAACCAAGTGCAAAACTGTTTTATAAGACATTTAGAGACTTTAACATTGTTAAAGGCATCTATAAAATTTCAGACTGCCAAAAGAAAGTTGATAAACAAAGGTAAGAACAGAACTTGTTGTTGTGTGGGGATTTTTCCTGATTATTTTTAGAACAGTCTTTTTTCCTGTCCCGGTGCACACATGAGCTATGATCTACCTACTTTAGGCTTCCCACCACACACCACTGGGTGCAGCTTCCGTTCCTTGAGAGGGAACCTCACAGACTTTCTGTCCAGGCTGACCTCAACTACCATGATCATCCCTCTTTTGCCCTCCCCAAATGGGAAGGCTATAATAAAACCCAGAAAGATATGCATGCTAAATCCTAACCAAGCAACCTGGGAGGCTGCGTGAGAGCAGAACTGCACAGAATCTGATGCTTTGGTACTCTAAAAGGGCTTAAAAGAAATCACTTCACTGAATCAGAGGTACATTTTTTTAAGATTCTTCAACTGAATTAGTCATTAATATCACACTTGAAGAGGCAACAAAAAAGCCCTATGTGTCCTGTGCCTTCCTTCACAGTACGAAGGTAAAAAACAAAGTAACAGCTACTAACTACTAGCAGTTATAGTCCAAGTACCTAATAGGAAAGAGGGGCTGTACTCTTCTTCATTTCACCAGTACCATGACTATTAGAAAAACGTTTTTATCCTAAGATAGTGCATAGAATAATCCACACTCTACCTTAACATGAGTTCAATTTCAACCTTACAAATGAATAATAAATTCAAGCACAAATGCTTTGGCTAAGATTAAATGGGAGCCTCTGTCACAAGTCAGATACTCACAAGTTTGAAGACAACTCTGCCAAGAAGTCTCACGGAGTCAGGAGGATATCTGGGTTTGCAGCTTTTCAGGCATTTGCATTCCCCCTTGTGGTGTGGCCAAGCTTTTTTCTGTAAGATAAGAATATAGAAGGACATCAGAGACATAAAATGTAATCTCCATTTGTACTGGTTTCAAATGTTGAGAAACATTCACATGAATTGAATTTCAACAACCTAACTATAACTGCAACTCAGAAAAATGTTCTAGTACTAAAGGGGGAGAAGGAGATACCGTAGATGGTTGACATTTCACATGGAATCATACACAGTGTCCTAATGTTTAGCACTGACAAGAGTAAATAGCCAGACTGTCTTGTATATTCTGTTCTAAAAGGTGGAAGTTGCATTTGAAAGTCCACTTACTGTGATTTCATAAATTTTAACTCTGCTTCCCTGCAGAAAGGTTTCTCTTGCTTTCACTTACTGCACAAACATGCAGCAAGCCAACGACTTCAGTTGTACAGCCACTAAGAATCTGACTCAGACTTGAGTTCAAGTCAGCATTTTGCTCAGAAAAATTCTCCATCAAGTTGTTGTGCCTCCATCCTCATGCTATTTCCTAGTTTGGCAGACATAGTGAAAAACTGTGTCACTCCTTCCACCAATGACACTAACAGTGGAAATTCCCTTACTGTGGGGCTTGCAATCTTCCCCTCCATTATTATTCTTTAGTCTCTTCTAAACTAGATTTAGCTAGATCCATGCAGAGTACATGAAATGAGGTTGTGGAAAAAAAAAAAAAAGAAAGAGAAAATGTAGAACTTTAAAGTAGGAGGAAAGTCTTACAGAACTTACTTAACATTCTAGAACATGCAGGACACGTGCCTAGGGAAATAACAGAATTTCACTTGACTCCCACAGTAATCAAAATGATAGACATGATCCTCATATTAATGACTAGGAAAGTTAAGGATCAAGGTCTAGGATCTAAATATCAAAGTACCAAAAAATGAAAAGGGAAAGTAAAATCCCTTAGTATGCTAATCATGAGTGTTAAATAACTACCAGGCTGTACAAAGCATGCATGAGTTGCCTTACAGCCAACGCAAAAAAAAAAAAAAAATGGGGCTGGGAAGGTGGCTCAGTGGTAGAGTACTTGCCTTGCATGCATAAAGCCCTGGGTTCGATTCCTCAGCACCACATAAGCAGAAAAAGCTGGAAGTGGTGCTATGCTTCAAGTGGTAGAGCACTCACCTTGAACTGAAGAGCTGAGGGACAGCACCCAGGCACAGAGTTCAGGCACCACAACGGATTTTTTTTTTAATGTACATAATCTCTTTTGACAGAAAATTAAAATGCATGGTTTTACCAATAATTAAATCAGAGGAGGAATTTATCCCAAGGATGCTAGTCAACACTCTGCAGTCTTTAATAATACTTAAAATAAATTACAACTACAATGCCTTTCATATAGCTACATCCATTATCAATACCTGTAATATGCCAGGCACCAGTGGTTCACGCCTATCGTAATCCTAGCTAAACAGGAGGCTTGCGAATTGAGGTTTGAGGCCAGCTTTGGCAGGAAAGTCCAGGAAACTCTTATCTCTAATGAACCATTTAAAAAAGCCAGAAGGAGAGCTCTGTCTAAAGTGGTAAAGCATCAATCTTGAACACAAAAGCTCAAGGACAGCATCCAGGCCCCAAATTCAAACCCCCAACCAGGATGGGAGCACACACACGCAGGCACGCACGCACACACACAACGATAGAAAGATCCACTGTTAAGTAAGTTTGAAAAACAAACTTGAGTAGACCCTGCCTGGTAAAATATATTCAACTTACAAAAGGTTCAAAAACTGTGCATTAAAAAAATCTGTACATATTTTCCATATACTTTCCCATGCCTGCCACTGCCAGCCTTAGGAATGTTCATGTGTGTACTCTGTTACCTAGTTTTTGAGTGAAAATATTTTAAGTAGACAAATGCATCATCTTTTGTACTAATAAAAAAAACTTAAAGTGTTGGTGGTTTTTACCAACCTTCTATGGTTTAATTAAGACTGATCATAACTTTGCTGGGCAAGTTTCCCTTCGGTGATGAAAGTGGATTAATCTGGAAGACACCCTTCATGAGCACGCTGTGGCAGGATTGAACAGGGGTCAGCAGGCCTGGAATGGTGCCTTTGACACTTGTACTATTCCTAGAGAAAATGTCTAGCTGAACAGGATTGCACTCAGTCAAGTAGGACAGGGCTTGTTGGGAAAAGGGATTTTAACTGTAGGTTTTAATCAATGTCTGTCTCACCTACAAGAGACCAGACATAGCTCTTTTCCTACTAAACCTCTAAATTCAAGCAGCTCAGTTTTCTGGTAGCTTACTGGGGTAAAACATCTACAAATGTATCCCAGATAATGAACCATCAGGTAGATGACATTGTTAAACATACAAATTTTGGTGAAATCCTGTCAAAAGTGACTTTAGGGCTTTAAAATAATTAATACTCAGCTCTTATTTCTCAGTAATAGAAAGTAGACAAAATGTTCCTGAAAGCTATTCCAGAATCACTGCATAAAAACATCAGGCATTACACTTATCTTCCCATTAGCTTGAGAGAAAAAAAGAAAGAAAAAAAAGTTCATTCTTTTCATTTAAAAGCCAAATCAGACCATTTAGGTATAAATACAGAAAGTGATCACACCACTGGAAAGTGGCCTTTTTTTATAATTCTGAGTTTCAGCCTATTCCATTTCTTAACATGGCATTAAACACCAGGCATTTATAACATTAATTGTTATAGAGCTTATTGCTCAGCTGCTTACCACTGCTTACACATCTAAACATATCACAGAAAAGACTAAGAAATCTTTTAAGCAAACCCATTTAACTAAAGCAAAACCTGGCAATGAAAACATTAGGTCCTATCTTCATTCTACCAACCTTAGCTCTGGGCTAGACCTCAGTAGTACATTGGTCTTGTATACCTGCCAGGTTCTCAAAAAATATATTCTTGATTTGTTTCCTGTGTTTTTTTTCTTTACTAACAGTAGAGAATACAAATAAGATTTTGTTCACAAAACTGGCTGTGATGTTTTCTCAGCTGAAATTCACAACAATGCACAAAAAGCACAAACCGGCATGGGAGACAACGGATATTAAATTTTTTCATTACAAAGCAAAAGATACCAGCAAGAGGGGGATGGGGACTACCAGTGGTCATGGAGGAGGGGATGAACCAATCACAACAGCCACACGTATGAGACACATGGATGAGATCATCACAATGAAGCCCATTATTTTTATAATACAAGAATCTCAAAAAATACAAAAAGTATGCAGTGCACTACTGGAAACTTTAAAAAAGTGTAAAATTTTATAGCTAAACCAAAGCAAAAAATAATAGGAGATAAAAGAGTTTAAGAGGGGATAAAGGAACTGAAAATATCTGCTACAATTCCATATGTCAGGACATGCATGATTTGAAAAACAACCTCAGAACTGACAATTTCCAGAACTCTCATTGAGAACTTTAACCAGTCCCAGTTCCTGCCTGGGGGGAGGGGGGTGCCAATACTGAGGGTCGTCTGGGAAACGTCTGTGGGTATTATGTCTATCACTTGCTTGCACAGGGCTGGATACCTGGTACTGAGGGTCGTCTGGGAAACGTCTGTGGGTATTATGTCTGTCACTTGCTTGCACAGGGCTGGATACCTGGTACTGAGGGTCGTCTGGGAAACGTCTGTGGGTATTATGTCTGCCACTTGCTTGCACAGGGCTGGATACCTGGTACTGAGGGTCGTCTGGGAAACGTCTGTGGTATTATGTCTATCACTTGCTTGCACAGGGGCTGGATACCTGGTACTGAGGGTCGTCTGGGAAACGTCTGTGGGTATTATGTTTGTCACTTGCTTGCACAGGGCTGGATACCTGGTGTGCAGGAAGGAGAGGCCAGGCCTCCTGGGCGTAGCTGTTCCACACGATGAAAACTGGTTCCAAATCCACCACAAGCTTGAAGTGTCTACCACACATTCCATGAAGGTGGAAACCTTTTTGTGGTTATTTTAGCCTAGAACCCAGCTTTCTTTTACTTGCTTCTACATAGACTGAGAAGCACTATTTTTTTTTTTGTAAATCATGGGAATATAGCATTTTAAGAACTTTACCTGAAGTTCATCAATGTTTCCTGAAGTCATAGCACTGAAGGTAATACCTCCTGTCATATTTGAGGAACAAGTGGGCATTTGTGCAACCTTCTCACAGTGACCATGTGATGTGTTTATAGGTGGTCAAGCCTGAACATTTACATAGAACAATATGTAACATTTTGGACAATTTAGTAGCAAATAAATAATGATTTTCTTTTATGTTTTAAAATATTCAATGTTGAATACAGGTTGTCAGATACATGAAGAGCTGAAAAGCTAAGATCTAGGAAAAGAAAAGTGGAAAGCTAACCAGGATGTCTAGCAGGTATAACTGACAGGTACTGATTTGCATAAAACCTCCTGAGAGCATGCTAGAGAGTCATGTAGAGTGTAAAACACCTATTGCATGCTTCTCTCATGAACAGCAAGAGCACTCTGACACAACCTTGGCCGAATTAGACAGAACCAAACATAAAGGAGTGAGGCAGAGGGATGGCCACAGGGCATCAAGTCATCCGAAAAATGAAACATTCCCATATTTTCTTAGGAAAAGGAAATTTCAGTCTTCTGGTTAGCTAAGGATTCACCTAATACTAGGCAATAATAATAATAATATCGGTGATCCGCAGACGTCAATCATCATCCAGTGCAGGGCAGCAGTTTACAGCCCACAAGTCAAATCCACCTGCCCAACTTATTATGACATTGTACTGAAACACAGCCACACTTGTTAGCTACATTTATTCATTTCATACCACAAAAGGGCTGGATAAAAGAAGCCATATGGCCCACAGAAAAAGTGTGCCAACCTCTGATCTATGGATTAATTTAATTTATCCAGAGAGCAAAGTAAATCATTCCCTTTGATGGAATTCCAATCCTGTTTGAAGGAAACCTCTAATCAAAACATTAACACCAGAAAGGGCATATTCATTCCATTTCCCCAACACAGGTAATTATTAAGTTTCAAACTCCCAAAGTCA